TCTAATGCAGGTTCCTTCAGCAATACTGTCCCTGTATTTTAGAATGTGATTTCAAGAAAGCAACTTGACACATAAAAAGTTAGTCGCAATTCTTTGTTTTCCTCAACTACAACTTGGGAAAAAAATGCATTAGAAACCATTCTCAGAGTACTTACAATGTTTTTATTTTTACTGGAGGCAGTCCTTAAGACAATGGGTTTTTTCTTGCTTTTTTATTCTGATGACCATTTAACATTTTCCAATGGACAATAGGGGGGTTTTATTCATTACATTTTGCTTAGGTGCCCTGCCAACCAAAAGCTGAAAAACTCTTGATTTGGGCGTATGGTAGTCGACCCAGTACACACACATACACACACACACACACGTGAAATAAGCAGTAGTATATGAATAAGCTCACCTGTTTGATGTAGGAAAGTGGATAAGCTCTAAGCTGTTCCAGTTAGAAGTAGATAAATTCTGATTGCTCCTGAAGACTCCAATGAATGTAATATAATGCCCTTGCCTTAAAGTGCTTGGAATGCAAGATACGAGTGGGTAAATACAGCAACTATACTAGGTAGAAATAGGTGTATTTGAACCTGTAGATGTCTACTGGTAAATCCATATGTTCTAGAAGTCTCGAACACTCAGTGTAAATAATTTGCAATAGTTTGAAAACCAAACCAAACCATCTTTTAATTTTGCTTGTTTAACTTTTCATAGTCAGTCCTTGATCCACAAAGCAATACCTGAATTTTTTGTGAAATGTAGGTATAAATTAAAACAACTCTATTACAAGTGGTAGATGCAACATTTTACCTTGCCTGTATCACAACAATTATTACATCTGGATTTTTTATGTGGCTAGTGCTCATACTATGTACCTGCCAACATGGATCGAATGTACAGTGCAAACCACAAAAAAAATTGCATTGGTTGAATAAGCAGAGTTAGGAATTTTATTGATCATAAACAGTATGGGAATGAACACATAAAGCAGTGTGATTATATTGTATTAAAGCAACATTATTTTATTATTAGATTATGATTATATTGTGTGTCATAAACTCATGAACAATATGGTTATGTATTATTATATTATTATTATTATTTTATTACTATATTCTAACATGACCACAATTCTCATCATTTAATATGTTCTGGCACAGACCATATCTCATACTTGAGTTTGACCAGTGTCTATTCAAAAGCAACACTATTAATGTATCATCATATAAAACAGCTGCACATATTTGTTCATAAATATAACTTAGAAAAAAAAAATTCTTTCTACTAGAAAAAAAAATCAGCACAGGTTACATAATGGTAAATTTACCATCTGGACAGAGCAAACAAAACACCAGAAAATACAGATTTATAGGAGGATTGAATAATCAAAACATAAAATAGAGTGTATATATATATACGCTTTTTAATATATATAAAAATTTATTTCTATTTTTTTATATATATGTGCTGCATGTTGACCCCCTGAGCATCAGATAGTTTTCCATATCACATATTATGCACATTTATTTAATTTGAAAGGCACAACCACTTACAGAAAGATATAGAAAGTTTTGGCACTGAACAAACTTTGGCTATTCTCAGCTCTATTTCATCAGGTTTAAAGAAAGCAGTATTTTGTGTAAAACTGTAATCACAAAGTAGGAAGTCAGAATTACTGAACCTCTTTTTATGCTAAAGAAGCTAATGGCACCGGGAGAAGTGATGTAAGGCAGAAGAGTTTCAGTCAGCTGCAAACTTTGTTAAAGCCTGTAACTTTGACAAATACTCTTCTGCTCAAAAGAAAGTGCAGATAATCCTTTTTATGCTGTAAAAGTGGTTGATGTGAGACATATGAAAGGAAAGTGAGGTTGCTCGAGGATATATTAAGCCACATAGCAGGTTGGTTTATCTGGGTTACTACCGAGTTTCTGTAATTGTACATGGAGATTGAACTCTGGTCTGTATGTATTGAAGTGGAAAGCTTGCAGGAGTATTGAGTCTCACTAGGAAAAGAAACAAAGGGGCAAAGTTTGAGGACTTCATGGAATTACAGTCTGGGAGTGAAACCATGCTGTTGTTTTTTCTTGCCTAGGGAATTTGAATATGATGAAAGACTAGCTGTATTACAAGATAAATCTTAAGTAAATACTTGGGTTTAGAAATTTGCAAGAACTGTGGAGACATCCTGTTGGAATATAAACCTGGTTATGTTCCCCAGGGAAATCAGATTTTGAAGGAATTGCATGAAAGATTAAATTCTTTTCTTGGGTGACATAGCATTAGAGTCACAGTTGATAGGAACTCTGTCATGACCCATTTCTGTTGGACATATGTTTTTACAAATGGATTCTAATAAATTAGTTGAGGATGAAGGTATTTACATCAATTCATTTCTTTTGTCCACAAGGACATGTTCTAAAGATTATGCCTCATACATGAGATAACTCCTGACATTTCTTCAACTGCTTCCCTCCCCATTCACCATCTGGCTGAGACTTTGAAGCTTTTACCCAATAATTAGTCACCACTCATCTCTGAGAAAATCTGATTCAGACTCAGAAGGAAGAGAACCAGGATAAGATATTCATTTGTATGCTAAAGTTAAAATAAGGTTCTTTAGCCTTAGGTATTTCTCAAGAAATTTCCCAGAAATCTCCCTGATTTCTGTTTATTTTCTAACTTCATTCCTTTTTCCCCTATTTTTTCACTTTTAGAGGTAGTGATCAACCTATGCCATGGTACAGATAAGCCAGTCATTTAAACAGATATTTCATTCTTTATTGTATTTGCCCATCTTCTCCCCCATTTTTACAAATCCAATTGATTCCTGATCAGCTTGACTTGACCAAGAAAATACCACCTTTAATAAGCATTCAGAAGAGGGTGAGGTTTTGGAAGATTTTTATTTCTTTATGTCTGTCTTTAAGGTGTTGATTATTGGCCTAATTAAGCCTTTTGATGAGGAGATGAGAATTCTCCAACATTTCCAGGTTTTGGAGGAAAATAGTTGGAAGGAAACAGCTTAGAGATGCTGATTTGATCTTCTTATTGCAAAATACATAACCTACTCATTTATGGCTTTCTTTTCCTCCTTAAGTGCATGTAATATTCCATAGAGAGCACAGTAGCAAAGTTTAATTGCTCTTTCTCTGCCTCTAGAGAAGGTGTAGCTCTTTACACACTACAGAATAGTTTCCTTTTAAGTATGGTTTAGTGTCATGTTGATCAGTCTTCTGATGTTGTACAGAAATTCTGGTATGCAATGCTGTTTCTATTGTTAGTAAGGTACACCTTCATATAGATGAGCTGCAAGTGAAGGCCACTTTGGATAAAAATTAATACTATTTCTATTCTCAAGAATACCAATACTGACTTGAGGATACAATGAAGTTTGTGTCTCTTGCTTTCGCTTCATCCATTTGTTCTCAGCTGCTAGTTCATTCTCACATTCTTTATCCTCCTGCCAAGACATCCCATCATGACCTTGGCTCAGTGACTCAGGATGGGAATTTCCAAAGTTTTCCAAAAGCCCCCTTTGATGCCTGTTAGGGGGAAGACATGAATGATTTGACTGCAGTTGTGGGAAATACTATTTGAAATTTACTGTTTAACTTTGAAATTGCAGGCATATCCCATCCAGCCCCTTGCCAAATTCTGCTACTTAGAAAGAACTGATTCAGTAGATTCACAGTGAGTTGGAATAATTTTGATTTCACTGATATTATTTAAGGTGGCTCTCACTTCTTTTTCCTTCCTCCTGTTTTCTTTCAGTCCTGTAGTGGATGTTTCATTTTTCCTGTCTTTCCAATACTACAAGGAAGAGGTTGGCAGCTCAGTCGCCTTTGAGTATAACTGTGAGAAAAGCAAATCTTATGATATTGG